TAGCAGATAGATGCTCGCCTGTAGATCCGAAAGTCGTGGATTCAAAACCCTACGTAGCTGGACATTTTTCAAAAACGACATCAGCTCTCAGGTCCATCTAACCTTAATTGGGGACCATATAAAGTGACGAAAGGTAAATGCGACCACATGACCCACCAAGTCTGAATGGCTTATAAAACAGAGGTCTAGCCCTGGATGCCCGAAGGCGTGGGAAGGGGTCCTTTACTTTTACAAACACTGTGGTCATATCATGAGAAGGAGAAAACTGGAGGCAGAGGGAGACCGAGGGAGACCGAGGGAGAAAATGCTGGACATGTTGGCATCATGGCGTGGAAGGTTATCTCTGTAAGACAAGATTGAAGGTATATGAGACAGAAGGTTGTGGACAGACATGACTTCCAACGCCACATGGCATGGACTGTGAGAAGAAGAACGTTCATCCCTTGACAAGACACCCTTCATCAACTCTTAGTCTTGAGCCTAGGGCGGCGCATAGGGCAGAGGTCATAGCTCCCCGTGTCTGGTGGTTCGTTGCCACCTGTATTAAGTCTTGGATATTCATGAGGCCCATGGCTGAGCCTTCCCTGATGATGGTTCTCTCATGGTCTTCCACGTTTCTGTTCCCTTTCGGTGTTCATGTGAGGGCTCGACGGGGGAGTCTGGTCTTATCTTCTTGAACTCTGACCGCATACATTTATATATCGAAATACGGAAATTTGTGAAGTTATGTTTGGTCTTTTTTCAACGGAACATTCACCATCAAGTTACCGGCACCGGGTCGTGTTATCTTTAAAGACTGTTCTATGGTTGGTGGATTTTTAAGACTACATGTATATAGCTTTACGGGAGGAGGTAGCCAACCCTAACCCTACCCTTAGTTGGCTTTTACGACATGGTTGACAACAATTCTTTGCTTGAGGGACCCGAAAACACACGGACGAGCTACGCATGTCTCAAAAAAAAAAATATTCTACGTCCTACCTAACACCTTTTTGCATAACCTAAAAAATCTTGAAGCGAGATGACTTACTGAAGCTTTGTTGGATCAGTAAATTGCCCAACCATGATGATGTATTTTTTTAAAAGGCAAATGGGAAAAAAACGGGGGGGGGGGGGGGGGGGGGGGTGCAAATTACAACTGAATGATGTAACTGTTATAGGAGCGCTTATTTATAACTTCTGTGGGCACTGAAAGGGATATCTGGGTTCAGATATATAGAATTTAGTGATGTACCTATATTTTCCGCACCGATTTTTTTGAAAAACCCAGCTAAGCTGAACAAAAACCCAAGCAATATCATAGGCAAAGAACACACACACAAACACACAAACCAGATTGTTAAAAAGTACGAAACGAAATATTGACCTACTTTTATATAAGGATATATTTGGTTTAAAAACCTCGGATTTTAACACTTTAACCCAAGACGTAAAAAAAACCCCAGATATGGGGGTAAAATCCCATCATTGGCAGTCCTGGTTATTTAGCCAGTGCCGCATCGGGAACACTACGCAGTACTCTCACAGACTGATCGCGTCTCGGTAGGCGAGGTGCACAGTGTCACACCGCCCACCTGACTTCCCCTGGACAAGTTATGGTACCCATTTTAGGCTCGGTGGACCTGGCAGCCAAGATCAATTCTGAGCAACATCCGCCCTAATGCAGATTTGAACCCGAGTCCTCCCAGCCGGCAGGCCAGCGTTTAGCCACTACGCCTCCCAAACTGTCCCCAACAGTCTAAACATCATCCGCATGTGCCTTACCATTAAGCATAGACTGTCATGGTTCGCCATTACACGCGATCAACAGAATCACGGATTAGGTCAATGTTTTTGTCTCAACCCCAGACCCTATAGCCAGGCCATCCTGGTATTTATCTCTTTCCATCCCTCTGCTCTCTTTCCTTCAGTCGTGCCAGTCCCTACCAAATTCCCGAGTCCATTTGTTCTCATATGATGTCCGAGAACCACCATGTGCCTATGTCTAAGTGCTCTAATCATGGTATAGTTTTTAACTGTTTCGATAAGGACTGCTTCATGATTTTCTCTGCATTCTTTTGAAACTATAACATAACAGGTTTCTCTCGCTGGATCTTCAGCTACCGGTTTGTGCCCAGATCCGCCAAACTGGTACAACTCGTTCCAATGACTGTGATCTCGGTGCAATCTTTTCTTTAGTGTAACATCTTTCCTAACTCCTATTGGGGAAAGAAGGTGGGGGAAAAGAGGGGACTGTCATATCTTCCCGTCCAAATCATGTCTTTGAATTAAATTACCATAAGCTGTCACTGGGTAGTAAATAACAGACTTCCATTCATACAAAATGCAATCAAGAATATATGCATGCATATATTTCGCAATCACTCACTCATTCACTCACTCACTCACTCACCTACCTACCTACATACATACATGCATACATACATACATACATACAGACAGACACATACATATGGATACACAGAGGGAGAGAGATATTCAGAGGTGGATAGACGAATTTAGAGCGCCTTTACTCGAGGAGAACATCGTGGTGCTTGCGTAGAACAGAGGGAATGAAATGGTGCGAAGGAATCATTCATGTGTAGCTGTTGGAGAGAACTGGGAACATTCCAATGAATCTAAAGAAGAGACGCTGGTATTGGGTAGAACACATACCCAACAAAATAACTAGACGGGATTTATAATGGAACCCAGAGAGGCATAGAAATAAAAGTATTCTTTGAGAATATTTACAGTACACTTGAATATTACTAGTTTGTTTAGCGACAAAATCAAGATCTCATCTGCAGAGAAGAATATCAGGATGCAAGAAGGCTATGATTCGGCACAGCACATACTGTGCTAGATTCGTCGAGAAACAGCAGATCAAGTGGTTTGGCCATCTCGTTAAAAGGCAGCAAGAACAAATACCATCACAAGCACTACATCTCAGAAGATCAGCTACAAGAACAAGAGGACGGCCACGAAAAACATGGACCGATAACATTAAAGACAATTTACGCCTTTACGACAACAACCAGTGCCAACCAACGGGGACCGGATCGCAAATTATTCCTCCCCACGTCGCTTAATGGCAAAAGTGGTTTATGATGATGACACACTGTGGTTGAGATTATGCGGGCTATGTTTTATGTACACATTGTTGGAACAGTAATTCGCGTCTAAACATAACGCATACCAAGCTGAACGTATTCCAAAACGAACGTATACCAAGACACCACTATATTTCGTAGTCAGTAAAATCCAACTACCAGAGGATGGTGATGGCGATGGTTGCTCCCCTTTAGGACTGCAGTCTGTAGGATTACCACCTCAAGGATAAGAATCACACTGGGGCAAATCCTAGAAACCCCGTTCAACTGTATAATATTAGGGTACCTCTTTGGCTATGAAGGAACCCTCAGTCAAAAAAGGACACCTCGTGAGAACATACGAGAAATGTACACATGACCATAATGGCTTACCGTAGCTTTAAGCAAAGAAGCCCGTTTTTTTTTAACAAGCAGAAACTCAAACATACCCTACGAGTCTGACTAGTCAAAACAGAAGGTGGATGTAATGAGAACTTTCTAGATGCCAATACCTGTACAATAAAAGAAGTTTCGTGACAGCAGAGGAAACAGTTTCAGAACAAGAAGACGCACCCGGAACTGGTCAACGATAGTTACTCAGAAGCTTACAGTGAGTATCTGTCTATGGTAGACAAATGGGGTAAAAAGCAACAACAGTGAGTGTCTAGGTATGCGACTGCGCAGATTAGGGAGGGGCTAGAATCAGTAAAGATGTGATTTCATAGGCCAATGGAGAGATGTAGATCAAAAGGTTTGGACATGTGTCAAGACTGCCACCAGACAGTGTACCACAGAGAGCCCTGACAATAATGGAAGCAGCCCTAGAGGTCGACCACGCAAGCGATGGATAGATGGAATACCAGCATGTATGTAGCACACACCAAGGTTTGCATCTGATGCCTCTTCAAAACCTTTGACGCTGAAAGGCAGAAGAGGACTGGATGATGATGTTGAGGATGATGATAATAATAATAATAATAATAATAATAATAATAAGAAGAAGAAGAAGAGTAAAGTGAAAACTCTGGATAGCTCCAATAACTAACAATGACTGCGGTGAAAGGATAATGAACGTATTATACGATATACGCATTTATAACAACTACAAAAACACTGTTCTGTGGTCACGGGTTGAGAAGTGAGGCACGAGTGAATATCGTCGAGAATAAGAATAGCGGTTAGACGAGGTGCACACAGAGGGAAACAATGAAGGATAGCTTAAGACGGTGACACGGAAGAATATCATGTACAGAATTCACTGGTTTAGTTTAGTCAACTGATCAATATCATGGTACACGGGTGTAACCCATAAGTGCTCCGTTCTACTTTTAACTCAAGTCTGAGCGGTGCACGAATTCCGCTGCACGATCCTGAAATGGGTAGATTTGTTTACTCAAAATTTAACCCGGGCAGCGCCGTTAGGCTACTCGTTTTGATTTCCAACTGCCAAAGTATTTTTTTAACGTGCTCAACACTACACACGGGCGTCTGATCTCACTACCCAGAAACCAGGGGAAATGAGTGAAAGTCCACGTGAAAAACATCCCAGCCATCACCGGGACCTAAACCCAGGACTCCAGCCGGACACCATACCTCGAGACCACGCAGCCCCTGTATGGCGAGTAGGAGTCACTCGGGTAGGCGGACCCAACGACATAATTCATTGAGATTACCGAGCACCTAGATTCAAGTGAATGATGGTGATGATGACGAGCACGTTGAAAGTATGGGCCATACACTTTCAATAACATGGACAGACTGATGATTCAACCACAACAACATGAGTTCTCTGAAAATCAAAGCAATGTTTCCTCTGGGTAAATGTAATAGCTGTGTAACACATTGTACTATATACAGCTCGTGTCTTCTTTGCTTAAATTTGTAAACATGACTTCTGTTATACAGGACAATCTAGCAGCCACACAAGCCATGTCGATGCAGCGACACGTACCCATCACTGTGGACCACAGCAGGTGGTACCCGGCAGAGTTTGACCCTTTCTTCAGAGATTCTTCTTCCTGGACCCACCTCCGGGACTGGGCCAGGGATCCAGCCGTACGCGAGCCACACAGAGAGCATCACTTGAGGGACATGGTCAGGGAACCGGCAGGTTGGTTACCTATCAGCAGTTTTATCCCAGGCATAATACCACTTGTCTTGTTCTTCGCGCTTTCATTCTGTGGTGTGTTTTTTTCTCCCCACTACCAGCAAGTTGTGTCGTGGTATGGGACGTCGCAGGTCGACCCAGCCTAAAATGGGTACCAGGATGGGCTGTCCTGGGAAAGTAAAGACAGCCGGCGTAATGCTGACCACATTACCCACCGAGTGCTGATGGTCTGTAAAAATATGGGACGCTCTGCCCATATGCCCGATGCGCCGAAAGGCGTGAAAAAGGGATCTTTACTTTTTTTTTTACACTACCAGCAAGAAGATGCAAGACGTGAAGAAAAGACGCTGGCATTGAACAGGACACGCGTTGAGAAAACATGAGAACTAGAGGCTATGATGTAGGAACTTTGAATATGACGTGAGCAACAGCCAATAGGACGTAAAAACTAGTACATATGACGTGAACAACAGCTCATACGGCGTGAGAACTAATGCACATTGACGTGAGCAGTATCCCATACGGCGGATGAACTAGTACATATTACGTGAGCAATATCCCATACGGCGGGTAAACTAGTACACATGATGTGACAGTATCCCATACGTGAGAACTAGTGCACATTGACGTAGCAGTATCCCATTTGGAAGATGAACTAGTACATATGACGTGAGCAATATCCTATACGGCGGGTGAACTAGTACATATTGCATGAGCAAAAGCCCTAATAACATGAAAACGTGTGCATATGACGCGAGAACGTGCACACAACGTGAGAACTTATGCATTTGACGCTAGAACTAGTGCATACGACCTGAGAACTAGTGCATGCATACAACGTGAGAACTTGTATACATATATGAAGCAAGAACTAGTGCACATGACATGAATAAGTGTACCTTTGACACGAACATGATTTTACAAGCAGCAGGTGTACGCGACAAACTGACATGTTTACCTTCTTCTTCTTTTCTCTACTCCTGGAATGCCTCACGACGTCATAACAGGAAGAGATATCTGGATCGGTCCTTGCTGTCCGTTTCGTATAAAGTACTTTTCAGTGTTTCTAATATTTCTGCGGTCCATATTCGGCGCGGTCGACCTCTGGCCTTGTTACCACTGTATGTACATGTTTATCAGTTCATACAATTCCCCGTGTGGGTCTCGGGGTATCATTCGAGGTGAAAACAGAAGACTCACTGATTCCATAACTAACAAGCATGTCATAAAAGACGGCTAATTAGCCGGGATAATTTCGAAGTCAGAGTGCATGTCCCTGATAGGCGAGGAACCAACAGTCTGCATACAGATAAGCCAGATATGTAAAAAGTATAAACACACAAACCTCAAGTTACGGAAGGACAGCAAAGTCCAGAAATTGACAACAACAAAACCCTGACCTTTCTGTCGGTCAACGCTATGAAGAAGTGTATGCCATTTGATTATGTGACCTATTACATTAATACTAAAATATATATGACAAACGAGCAAGCATCCACTCCAGAACAGCAGACCTGTAACACACACGATGAGGCAACAATCCCTGACTCTCCATGACACTATTCTCCCCAACAGTGTACCACCAACCTGGCGCCGGCAGCACACTGCCCCTGACCCGGTCGTTCTACAACCCCGAGAGACAGCTGGGCTCACTGGACACTGACATGCAGCGGATGGCCACGGAGATGAGACGGATGTACAGCGAGATGCAACATCTCATGCCCATGGATGCCAACCCTGACAGCTGGCGGAAGAAGGTGAGTCAGACTGAGTTTATTTGGTCGGTTTGGGTTCACAGGGCCAGTCTGATTTCAATGGGTCAACTTGGTTTCGCTGGGTCAACAGGGTCGGTTTGGGTTCACTGGGTCAACTGGGGTTCACTAAACTAATCTGGTTTCAGTGGGTCAACCTGGGGTCACTGGTTCAATTTGGGTCCAGTTATTAAAAAAATACACTCAAACCCCCCCCCCCCCCCCTTTTTCCCCCCACAAAGCTCCATCAACAATCCAACAATCACTTCTCATGCCTTCCTATGTGGGTTGTGTTACCACATCTTTGGAGGGAACCAAGAACAAACCCACTGTCCTTAAAAAAGGCTTATGGGTTGAAAGGCCTAGCTGTAAACCACAACATCACACACCAACTACCATTTGAAAGGCAAATGAGAAGTTCTTATGTTGATAGTACTAGTAGCAGCCGGATTACCAGTTCCACAAAGGGTGCTGGGTGGTCTCAAGGCATGGTGTCCGCCTCGAGTGCTAGAGGCTGGGGGTTTTCCACATGAACTTCAAGTAATTAATCTCTGGTCTCTGGGTAGTAAGACCGGATGCCCGTGAGTATTGTTGCGCATGTAATAAAATCCCCTGGCAGTTGGAAATTGAAAAGACTAGCCTAACAGGGCTGCCCTATCAAAATGTGGAGTTTAAAATCTACCTAAAGTATTTTAGGATCCTCGCCGGTGCAACAGAGTTGGTGCACTGGTCTGAGATTCTTCAGACTCAGGTTTGAATTAGAAGATTACAGATTACAATAAAAGAGAATGTTCAAACGTGACGCTAAACCTGAAAGAGTGCAGAAAATTCAAAATGGCCTATCAGTAAAAGATGACCACAGCAGATACTACTTTGGGATGCAAAGTTTTGGACCTTCAAATAATTTAATTCTTCACAGCAGTGGATCTGGAACCTAACCTTGTCAAATAAACACAGTCAACAAAGATTTAATACAGGCACCAAAACCAAAGTAGGTCAAGTATGAAGCAACTGATGCCAAATTGGCACAGGATTAAGGGGGAAAAAAAAGCGAAATGTCACACTATGTACAGTTAATTCCCGCGAGCAAACGTTAAAAAAAAAAAAGAACTTCGCACACTGGAGTTGCCTAGAAAAGGACAGATTTATGACAAGATAAATGTTTCACTCTACTTCCTTCTCTAGGAGAACTACCTCCTGGACAACCCTGTCTACCACGACCAGAGCTCTGGCAGGGAGGTCTTCCGACTTCAGTTTGATGTCCGACAGTTCAAACCTGAAGAGATCTATGTGAAAACTGAAGGGAAGTGAGTAGACTAGATATATTTAGTTTTGAAAACTAGTTCTGCGGCGTGTTGAGTGTTACATATTCTAGAAGAGCTTAAAAAAAATACAACTAGAAAACTGGATGGAACGAATGTAAAAGACGCCCACAAATACAACAGAAGGTTTCGACCGAAGTCTTTATCAATAAAGTACTAAATAACAACACAAACTATGACTGGAAAAACTCAACGGACAAGACAACAGCGCTTCTAAAAAACTAGCTCAACATGAAACCGAGAAATATGTTACGGGGGAAATATGGATATGAAGGGCTATATATATATATATATATATATACACACACACACACAAAACGAAATAAGTAAGAACGTGTATGAAACAACAGAGAGAGCATAATCAACAAGTTAATAAATAAATAAACTAAAATCATGCTTTTTAGTAGCATTAAATGTTGCATCAAGCACTTCTTGGAGTCATCTTAACCGCAGTCGCCCCACTATCTACAAATTCTAGAGCAGCATCTCCAAACTTGCAGAGCTCCTTTTTAGAATTTCTTTGGCGAAGCTCCTTAGCTACTTTTTGCTTTTTAATCATTAATTGCCTTCAATGTTCACTTATTTTCCTGGAGCTGCCGTGGAGCCTTTTGGAAGTGCACACAAAGCTATTAGGGTTCCATGGAGCATCGGTTGAGAACCACTGCATGAGCTTATGAGCTTTACTTTCCCAAAGAAGATTATAAAGAATTCAGAAATTATTCAGTATCAATTTTATTGTTAAAAAGGGTGCCAATCCAAGAGCTGTACAAGCAGGAACTATCTGCCTGTCCCCATGGGGGATTAAATCCTGACCACTGTCCCGGTAAGCAAGCATACTACTGACTATTCCACTGAATTTTAATATATACTTTAACTCTCTTGCCTTGAGTAAGCCATTTGTTTGGCTTTTATGGGTTCTGGTTGACATTATGTCTATGGACAGTGTTTACTACGCCTGTATAACAGCTTTGGGAGTGGCTGCGATTGCAGACAGAGTGGGCATGACTATATTTATACCCCAAAAATAAATTTAAAAAAACATTTTTTTAGGGTAAAAATATAAAAAAATTTTTTTTTTTAAATTGTTGATTCACTGCCACGTTATGGGATTGTATTATTACATCCCATTACTCTCTGTAGCAAAGTGTCCAAACCCCCTTTTAAATGGTCAAAGAGAAGAAATTCAGGTAATTCTTTGCCCTGTTTTGTATTTAGTAAATTGCTTCCCTTCCTGTAGAAAAAAACTTTTCCCAGTTGAGGCATTAAGCTTTAGGGAGACACTCATTAAATTGTTGTAGGGATGTAACATTATCAAAGAAGTAGGGGACTTCATGCCTGCCTATCTTCTCTGTGGTCTAGGGATTCAATCCAGTGGATACCTTTATAAATATTTTTTCTTTCTCTCTGGTTTCTTAGGGTAGAGTTTCATAGAGTTATAAAAAAAGTGTGTGTAAAAAAAAAAAGGCAAAGTTTTAAGTCTTTTTAATGAGACAAAAGGGTTTAATAAGTCACTACAATTATGAAAGAACTGCTGCAACAACAGAGTTTATGCCTAAGCTTTCAAACAAAACAAAAGATCCTCAAGGGACCTCAAAAATGATGAGACCAGAGCACTAATGAATAACTCCCCACATAATGAAGGTTTATGAATCCAGTCTAAGAAGAAATCATTCAACCATATTTGTTGGTGTATAAGACGCAGCCCAAAAAATTGTTATGAAATTGTTCAAGAAAAATAACAATGAATTCTTGCACCCATGTCATAGTTTAAGGCTCTGATTCCTACCATTCTGCACTTCGTCCATGTTGTGTACGCTTTCCTTTGTTCATTTTGCATAAAAACTCCATATTCTTCAGCATATTTTATCAGCTGCAGTTTAAAAAGAGTAGGAATATTGAATAATGTCTTTTTCCATATCATAGCAACTATGAAAAATAATGGTATATGTAGGCCTATTTCTGTCGTATTCGATGCAGCCTATTTTAAGTCTTATTTTGAGAACAGAAAAGTGCATCTTATACACTGACAAATACAGTATACAGCTAAAAGTGGCACAGTGAGTAAATTTGCATCTGTTTATTTACAGCAACCTGACAGTGCATGCCAAACACGAGGAGAAATCTGAAGGAAAGTCACTGCACAGAGAGTACCACAGACAATATGTTCTGCCCAAGGTTAGTAAACTTCCTCTAAGAGACGGGGACATACTGGCAACCTGTTCTCTTCAATGTCAGGACATATCATCTGGGAGAAATATTAGCTCATATGTTAATTCCTAGGAACAAGGACCTTTTTCCATACCTTCAAGCATACAGAGCATATAGTGTTAGATCTAAATTTCACAGACAAATCGGCACTTGCTGGGTGATGTGTCAACATCATGCCAACCATCTTTACTTCCCAAGACTCTACCTCGTACCCATTCAAGGTTGGGTCGACGAGGGAGCTGAAGTTATTTATGACAAAAGTCCAGCTCTGTCAGGACTCAAACCCATGACTTTTGGATCTGCAGGCTAGTATCTAACTGCTACACACATATATATATATATTTATATCTTTCCTCCAGAATGGCTTTTTGAAAGGTCAAAATACAATGACTCAAAGAGCCAATATTTGGATCAGATAGAGCAGAAGCAAATCCATAAACCCTGTTCAACTGTATAACACAGGTATATTAGGCCACCCGTGGGTTACAGAGTAACCTTTAGTTTAAACTGGGTAGGGTTATATATTATATATTTATATGTTAACTAGTCAAATTCACAGCCGTCACTTCTTCAAGTAAAAGGCAACTTAATTAACAGTTTCTTGCAATCAAATATGTTGGGCCAAAAGGCGCATATATCACAGCCAAGCTGTAAATCACAACGCATCATGCCAACCGCCCTATTAATCCTATCGCCCAGAGACAGTTAGATCTAGTAACTTCTGAATGTAACACATCCCATTAATGCTGATATATGACAATTTCTACAGTGACATGTTCTTGAAAAGCTAAGTTAAATTCTGCCTGTGCTGTGTTTAATAAGCCAGGATATAAATGTAATAACCAAAAATGGCATCTATTTAGAGACTATTTACATCCCAGGTTAATGTCAAATATTCCTGTAAGCCTCAGCGACAGAGGTCATTGGGTCATGTGATGAATCAACCAATACATTTTTTATGTCCCTGGGAATGTATTCCATTAAATGCTTTACTCTGTTCTTGTTCATGGCTTAAGTGTTGCGAGTCCAACTTACAATTCCAACATACTGCGATCGGAACCCACTGCTAGCTGCGTAGATTTTTATCATGGTATGGGGTGTTGTAGGTCGACATAGCCTAAAATGGGTACCAGGATGTATGTCCTGGGGAAGTAAAAATGGCCGGCGTAATGCTGACCACATTACCCACCTAGTGCCAATTGGTCTGCAAAAATATGGGTGCTCTTTTCATAAGCGTGAAGTGGGATCTTTACTTTACCCCTTTATATATATATATACATGTTAAAAACAAATATGAACATATTTTTAAACATTTCATAGTCATCTGTGTAATATGGTTATTTTTAAAGAATTGTCTCCAGAAATTATTTTTTTTTTAGCATGTTACGGGTGAAAATGGAAGAAAAAATCTAGTATTATCCTGCAGCTGTTTTCTCATACCCAATAACTGTTGTGAGAATTTTTCATCTGTCAACCCAATAACTGTTGTGAGAATTTCTCATCTGTCAACCCAATAACTGTTGTGAGAATTTCTCATCTGTCAACCCAATAACTGTTGTGAGAATTTCTCATCTGTCAACCCAATAACTGTTGTGAGAATTTCTCATCTGTCAACCCAATAACTGTTGTGAGAATTTCTTATCTGTCAACCCAATAACTGTTGTGAGAATTTCTCATCTGTCAACTCAATAACTGTTGTGAGAATTTCTCATCTGTCAACCCAATAACTGTTGTGAGAATTTCTCATCTGTCAACCCAATAACTGTTGGTGAGAATTTCTTATCTGTATCAAACAGGACATGAACCCCGAGAACCTGGTGTCTAAGCTGAGCAGGGACGGTGTCTTGACAATTGAGGCTCCGCTAGCCATAGCAGAGGCAAACAGACTCATCCCCATCAAACACGAGTGAGCTTCTAGTATAGGTTACCAGACTACAATTTCCAAACACTTGTAGTCTTCTATGTCAAGAGCCGAACATTTCAATAACTATACATGTGTTATCATACATGTGACTATTGTCACTACCTTTTTATTTGATTCTATCAATATTATAAATCTGCTGTAATGTTAAACAAGTCATTGCTGTGTCTACAAATTTCACTGATTCTATAAAATATAATAATAAATTGGTGCTAATACTGTATAAATCATTGTTGTCTCACAATATTTCATTTCGTTCTGCAAATCTTTCTTTACACCCAGGGAAAATATCAGTTTCAAGAAAAGCATTTTAACACAGTTACACCATAATATTATTGAAAATGCCTTACCACTGTAAGTTAACCTTTCTGCCTTGTGAAAATCTTTAAAGACATCACTTTTAAAAATGTCTTTTAAAAAAATGCCTCCTTATAATACTCTGAAAGGACGCCCTAAAAAACCAGAGCAGTGGTTCTCAACCTGTGGATTTTGACCCCACATGGTGTCAATCGACCCTTTCATAGGGGTCGCCTAAGACCATCGACAAACACATTCACTGAAGTTATGAAGTAGCAGTGAAAATAATGTTATGGTTGGGGGCCACCACAACAGGAGGAATGTATTAAAAAGTCATGGCATTAGGAAGGCAGAGAATGACTGAAAAAGAGGAAAAAAAAGAAGTAGCAGCAAAAGAAATCTGAAATCCTAGGTGGTTTTTTAAACATCCAAGGGATCAAACCCTCAAACTACTGAGCAGACAGGCAAGCATGAAGTCCCCAGCTAAACTGCGTCTTTCAAATCACCAAAATAATTCATGTGAATTTTAATTATTATTATTTTGGGCACACTATTTTGCCCCCCAAAAAAAGAATTAATCACTAAATACAAAGTGAGCAAAGAATTCACTGCTTCGTTCCCTTTGAACATGATGAAATGGTTTTGCTAGCTTTGCCATCCTGATCAAAATAACACCATAACAGATTATTACGATGTAGCAATGACATCACAGTTTTTTTTAATGTATCTTTTTAAAACCCCTAATACTATCTCAAAAACTATCTTTGGGGTATATACATGGTCATACCTACCATGTCTTCACATATGCAGTTACTGCCTGAATACATCACATCATCAAAAACCCAACTATATGTCAGGGTTAAAACAGAATACAACTCAACATAAACACATAAGTCATCATCAACATCAAGTGTCTTGCCAACTGGCGTAGGCATTCATGCATCTCCACAGATCTCAGTCTTTGGTGTTCTGAATCAATTCCCCCATGCCACTGTCTTAAGCAATCCAGCATCATTTCTCTTAATCTGCCTCTGCTTCTTCTACCAGTGATCTCTCCAGTTGTCATATTTTCCAGCATTCCTTTTCTCCTCATATGATCACAGAACTTTCTTTGTTTCCTTCTCATTATTGTATATAATGTTCTACATTCATTTGCCAAACACACAAGTTAACTTGATATTTGACATATTCATGGCATTGTGGTGCTGGGGTGTCTGTGGATTACCTACCTCCCCGGGCAGCAGCTAGAAATGCCCTGTACCAGTTCTAAAGTGCCCAAAACTCAGTGAGACAAGAAGAACGCTACTCCCTCCGAGACCAGACAAGTGGAACACCTTGTACGGAGGAAAAGAACAGCTTGTGAAAACATGCAAATTCCACTACATGGCATTGGGCCAAAGGGCGAAAGCTCAAGCGCGGCTGGATCGATAACAACAACAACTTGATATTTCTGATCTTTTCATCATGTCTTATCTTTTGACCGTCTCTTAGAAGCTAGTGGATGTGTGATTTTAAGACAGCAGTATAAGAGTTGCACCATGGAAGAGACTGGGGCCTGACCAAGTAATATTTCCAAAGACAACAGTGAGCCAGCTTTCACGGTGAAGATGGCACAGAAATCACGTCATCTTTTAATCAAATCATCTTTACAATTTTATACTATATTAAAGATTATCATACTTTTTATCTGCGTTATTTGTTTGTTATAAACTCGTCACTTATGTGCATAGTCAATATCATGACACATGTTCTCCGTGTGGGTTCCGGGGCTCTTTTGTGGGGCAAACAAAAACAGACTCCCTGCCTCCCCAACAAGCATGTAAGGTTTTGAGGTTTCGAACAACGGATCAACATCATGGCACATGGGTAGTAACTCATAAGTGCTTCGTTCTTTCTCTAATTCAAGTCTGAGTCCAAAGAAGCTCAGCACAGTGCACAGGCTCTGTAGCAACGCTGAGGATCCTGAAATAGTTTGGGTAGATTTGTAACTCCAAATGTGTCCAAGCAGCGCCAAAGCGCATGTCGTAAAATGTCGACTAAGTGAGGGCTTCCTTTGGAGTGCATCTGCCTGAGAGGCAAGGAATCAACAATCTGAATACAGACAAGTCAGATGTGCAAACAACACTCAGGTTCTGGAACAAGACCAAATTCCAGAGGTGGATGAACAACCAGAACTTTCCACCAGAGTTTACAGCTGGTGAACACAAAGAAGAAGAAGATGACACATGTTCTTGATTCACTTGAGCCCGGCTCTCTAGCGAAGTTGGTTAAACCTGACTTTCGCGGCGGCCGGGTGACAAACTCCTTGTGGTCCGGGTTCACTCCCGGGGGTAGGCAGAGAAGCCACATTTCTCCCAGATTAACGGTACCTATAATGGAATCAATGCCGAAGGGTTGCGATATCCATAGTACCGAGCCAAAGGGTTTACAACTCATGGTTTCTGGATGCGTTTAAAAAAAACAAAAACAAAACCATTTTCTCTGTACACCCTTAAAAGTGTGGTCGGCATGTCATATCTGGTTTACAGCTAGCCTGTGAAATCTGTGCTCTTCAGAACAACACATCCGATTTGAGCAAACCCTTAATGAGTCTGATTTTACACTGCACTTGTTAGACAGAGCAGCTGGTTTAACCACCCATCCCCCCTTTTCCGCGGACATGTGCGCGCCCCCCAAATGGGCCCCAAAACAACAAAAATCTTGTGATGCTCATGTGTAAATACTCTAGCTCCCTCTTCTAGGACTTTCATCACCATCAAAACAAAATCATTTCACATAGAGGACTCACTCCTCAGACTAGTACAGACCAGCGCAATCTTGATTTGATCCACCGGTATGATCAACTTACAATTTTCACGACAAAAGACAAGCATGATATACTCCATCGTGATCTAGGGTAATGGACCACACACTTAGCTGTATCTGATAAGGGCGAAAAACTCTCAGGACTTGTTATTAAAATCCATTTGAAAATTGAAAAGAGCAAGCACAAAAAGCTGCAAACTGGTTACATTTCTTCTTCTTCTTCTTCGCGTTCACCAGCTGTACACTCTGGCGGAAAGTTCTGGTTGCTCGTCCACTACTGAACTGCAGTCCTGCTCCAGAACCTGAGTGTTGCGTGTGCATCAGTTTTACAGATCTATTCTCTTGAATACAGACTGTTGGTTCCTTGCCTCTCCGGCAGATGCACTCCGACTTCAAAGGAAGCTCCCCAATTAGTCGACTCTTACGACATGCTTTTGGGGAGGCAGTGGGTCTATTCTTGTTTTCCCCACAATGGGGCCCCGGAACCCACACGGGGGGGTTACATTTCAAAATGGAGGAACAGCCACAATAAGGGGTAAATAGGTTACCTTTCGAAATGTATTTATACCCCCCCCCCCCCCCCCCCCCCCCCCCCACAAAAAACCCGCGTAGCACGTGTTCCTGCTGAATATGCATGAGGACATTTGGTAGCGCTTCAAAATTTGTGCCCTGTGCCAAAAATGTCCTCTGTGAGGGGACAAGCACTTAAGGAGATATCACTTTGTGATAAAAGTTCTCCTTGGTCAGGTTTACACAGAAGATCCAGAACTCTAGACTTTACCAGGCCTTGTCCTGAAAAAGCATCTCGAATGTACTCTATAAAATCAGATTTCTGCAGCACAATGTGTGTCACCTTTCTGGAGGGGTTTGAAAAAGATGATAAGTGATTAAGGGTTACTTTTTATTTTTGTCCATACAAACAACCTAGCCCACTGGTCCCATCCATTCATGCTCTGTCCTCTGATGCCGCAACCACTATAGTGTCTTCATGCCTAATGTACCCTGTAGGTGTTGAATGGCATATCTTTCTTCTTTGCGCCACATCCTGTTTCTGCACCGAGGTTCAGGCTCTTTCTCTGCAGAGTAACTGGCCACATGCTGAGGTCAGAACATAAGTTCAGCAGCTTCAATGACGACTCCGGGAGATATTAAAAAACAATGCCCTTATGAACCGAAGTTCAAAAAATGACACGCAAATAGAGTAGGCGGCAAATAGCTTTACTTCACTATGAGGATCTCTCACTGAATAACCCTGGATAAAGTTCTGTTTAAGCATTTGTAATTCTGCAAGACTCCCTGGGGTTCGGTTATTTCCAACTGTGCAGACACACGGGAAGCTAAGCTGCTGGATACTTTTTTGCAGGGAAAGATTAACGATCAGAATGGATACTGACTTTCACATCCATGTAACGCACTTCTCTCTTTTACTATCTTCATTCATGAAGTTGTTGACAAAATGAAATTAATACAGATAGTTAGAGAAAGGGTACCAAAATAACAAACACCCCCACAAAACCAACATTCATGTGACAACAATTGATAGTAAACAACCCCTGGGTGTTGCCAAACAATAAATTGAGGATAACTTTTGTGAATGGATTAAATTACAATTAAATAAGATTTGGAAGATAGATGGGAAATCTGTGGGCACAGACCTGAGTAGAAAGTAAAGCCTTCTCCTACTCAAGAAATACCAACAACCAGTGGTTGGATATTTTTAGACTCGTCATTTCCAATCAGCAGGTTCTTCACAGAATGTCCCTCTCATCATGACACAACTTTCTTTCTCAAGCCAACCCTCCAGCACTATGTGCTTTCATAGCCAATACATCTGCAGTGTCATGTATTCATCTGCGCAAAGATCTGCCTTTGGAATTTTTTCTAGAA